GGGATGACGCGAATGACTTCGGACTGAGTGCGGCGAGGAGCGAAGAGGGTTCTTCTCAGGGGTGAAAGGGAGTCGACTCCATCTCTGAGAGGTTTTGGGATGGTTTTGCTTCGCTTTTCGTGCGTATCGTCTTGGTGGTTGTTTTGATGCGTGGAATTGAGACTTCTTCCTGAGCTTCCTGAGTCATGAGGCTTTTGATTCAGCCTTTTGGTTGAAAACAGCGGAACCAAAGCCTCCAAGCACGGGTGTTTTGCGGGTTCCAAGCACTGTGGCGCCCCCAGTGCTTCGAACCCCGCACCAGCCGAGCTGAAGTGGAAAGTGGTGGTGGGGTGTTTGCCTTTGCAAAAACCCTGGATGTTAAAAACCCCAGTGCTTCGGGAAGGCAAACCTTGGCGAACATGTCCGAAACAAAAAGGAGCAAACAGACCCAAGATGCTGAGGCACCTGCGGAAATCCCAACGACAAGTTTCGCGACTGGTGCTACGTGGAGGAGAGCGAAAGGAAGTGCCAAGGGGGCCAGCGCCGTGGCTTTAAGACTCCCGCTTGTTCTGGAGAAGATGGCAGGGATGGGTGATTTCTTTGGGTGAAATTGGTCGCAAAAACAGGGAGACGCCATTTTCCCTAAGGATCCGAGGAACCGGACCCTCCAGGGGTCGAACCCTGCTGTGAACTACGGGGCTTGGGGCCCCTCAAAGCCCTTTGTTTTGTTTCAGATGCGGATTCCCTCCAGGTTAGTCCATTTGAGTCATCCCATGGGTAGACTGGCCTTCCCTCCATGCGACGGTGACCCCGGTTTACTTCGGGACGGTCCCGTAGGTCCCCCGGAAGGAGTAGACGGAAGTCTACCAGGTTCGGCGCTCCGAACGGCTGGGCGATACCCTGGGAGTCCAGTCGACTATAAAAAGAATGGTCTGACTAGGGGACCTGAGTGAAAGGGAACTTCCTTTACTTCAGCCGGTCAATATATAGTCGAACTGGACTTCTAGGGTATATATACCAGCACCGAAACCAACAGGTCTCCGATGGCTGGAGGGTTGGGAAAGGCCCTGTCAGAGGTTTCAATTGGTGACCTGTTGGCCGTCGGTGCTGGTAGGGATCTCCCCTATTCAACTACACACCCACCACCAGCACCCGACTTCACAGGTGCTTCCGTGACAAGTCCAGTGCCCAGGTTCACCACCCTCCGTCGGGTCTCCAAACAGCCGAACTTGGAGGGTCCTGGCCGATTGTCTCTCGCATCGGCGGAACCGGATTCCGCCGGAGTCCGCCGAGGTGGGGCTTTTGCGAGAAGTCCCGGTGAATGTCTCACAGCCTGCGTCGTCTGGCCGTAGCAAAGGACACCGGCCGGTTGAACGCGCAAGCAAGGACACCGCGGGGGGGGAACCGCACGGGCCGATAGCTATCCAATAGCTTCAACCTGGGGAGTCTTGCACTTCGGAAGCAGCGATGAGAAGCTGAAGGATGAGTGGATGAGTCCAGTCGACTACTTCGTAACATCGTCTGACTGGAGGACCCGAAACGGAAGATCCTTCATCACTTCGGTGGTCCCGAAATGGAACAAATCCTTCCTTCTTTAGACGTCGACACGGATGCGCGAAACATCCGAGGGCTGACTGAGAAACATCGGACTCGATGGGGAGATCTTTGGTGACCTTTTGAGACTTTTTGTGGTTCCCTAAGGATCCACATACCGAACCTGAGGTACGGTGATTGGAGACTATTGATGTAGGCGCCAGGAAGGTCCAATTGCCTTCTGAGAAGGTATGTGGATCCATAGGGGCTTCCTACCAAAAGTCATGTGAACCAAGGCATTTCTTTCTGACATTGGGGGGAGAAGTGGGAACCGGGTACTTGCTGCTTGCAGCCCCCGTCTGATAGAGAAGGCCAGCTTCTTCTGCCTGTGGTGAGGCCGGCGTGTCTACGTGTCTCCCTTTCAACCGACCCGGTCAGAGATGGTCCAAATCCGACCCGGGGATTTCTCTGAAGGCGGGCATGGAGGAAGGACATGTCTTCGCGAGAGGCGACAAGCATGGTTGAAGGACATGCCCGTAAGAACCGAAGTCAGACCGCCAAGATCCTCGCAGAACTTCTAATGTTTTTAGGCAACATCACACGGTTTCCCCCACAAAAAGAAGAGATCGACATCTGTCAGACGCGAGGTGATATGTTCAATTCCAAAGAAACGACATATCTTCATCGTCTTGGAGCTGCAAGACCCGACCCTCCTGCGGGCCCTCTCGAGGCGTCTCACTTGAGAGTGGGATGTGAAGAAAGAACCACATCAGTCTGGTGGTCCGCAAAGCCTCAAACACTTGGGTGCATTGGATGAGAGGACAGTAGAACTGTCGGAACACCTGCGACTTGGTCTTGGTCTGAGGTAAAACGGCTGCTTTGGTCTTCTTTGAAGGCATTGCTGTGGGGTTGATACTAAACTTCAATCATACTAAACTTCCTGGTCCTACTCCTGTAGTCTTGGTACTCAACTTCAATCCATACTCATGGAGGAAGTCTTCCAATGACCTCCATGGACCCTGCAGCAATGACCTTGCTGCAGAAGACACCACTCGCTGCTAGCCCCACAGAAAGAGCAAAGAGCATCACGTCCTGCCTGGTCCTGCCTGGTCATGCTCTTAACTGTTGGCAAAAATCACTCCACCTCCCATCATCTCCCCTATCACCTCCCTACATCTCCCCTATCACCTCCCTACATCTCCCTATATCTAGTAGGCCTACAGGTGATTTTCTCTCCTAAATGTCAATTCTTGTTGGGATCCGTCTGAGTATGGAGCGGCCATGGCTCACATTTACCCATCACCTTAACCTGGTTTGCGGATCACCTGTGCTGAGAGCTCCCAAAGTTGGAGCTGGCGACCACGACGCTTCCGAGCAGCGAGGGGTTCTCTGAAAGTGCCCCGGATCCAATCGTTCCCTGGTGCGATTTGGAGGGAGCTACTGAGTGTCGGTGCGCTTATCCAATGGCCTTTTTGGAAGACCATTTTCCACTACACACAGTGGGTGAAGTCCACTTCCATGTGAGTTCCAGTAACATCAGCCTAACACTAGCCGTCACTAGCCAAGCTATGGTCCATGGATCAGTTCTGACTACTTGACCGTCCAGGAGAGTTCTTTGGTCCGTTTTTTTCGGCTCCAGCCGATCCAAGATCTTAAGAGTTCTCTTCTGAATACCCTCTGAAAAGAGCGGCAGACGAGCAGACGGGCTGAGAAACCGACCTGTCCGGACGTCAAGAGGGGCGGTCGCGTAGTGATGCTGACGTCGTGTGATGCAGACGGATCTGAGACGATGGCGTCAGGTGGACCGAGTGGACCGACCTTTGTCACTCGGGACCCAGCTTCTTCAGTTCGTGACCAAAACTTCTTTGGTGTTGTTCCTTGAGTGACTGAACTTGGCCTAAGTCTGTGACCGAAACAACCAGCTGGATCAAGTTCGGTCACGTACTGAAGAACTCAGAAATTCAGCTGTCTCCCTGTGAACCAGCTTACTTTCGTTTTCTCAGCATGGGTTCGGATGCCTGCTCAACACACAGGGTCGGGGGAACGCCTTTGTTCGGTGGACAGGGCCTTGAGGACGTCTCAGGTTATCCGAGTGTGGTTTGTCTTGAGGGCAGTCACTTTGGATACCCTAGGGCTCCAAGTACCTCCTCAGAAGGTATTTGGACCCTCTAAACCCACCCCAGTCCCACCTTCTTAGAAGGTACGACTGGAGCCCCAAAAAATAAGTATTGAAGGCCAAAGGGCAGCACTCAGTGGACGGGTCGAATCGGGTCAATTCCAATGATTTTTCGGGATTCCTTCCAATCCTAGGTGCCATGCACTCGTCTGAGTCACCACTGGTCAGCAGGTGAGCGCATCTCAGCGGTGAAAGAGCCGTCGAGATGCTGAGCTGTGCTGAAAAGATGAGCTGTGCGATCGATCTCCCGAACGACAGCCAAACAACACCCAACGATACCCATAGGATATTATACCTATTTACTGATCAGTTGGGGTGGGCATTGGGAGGGTCAGACTCTGGGGCGGGAGGAATACCCTCCCTGCAACCATCATGGAAGTCGAGTTCACCTCCTCTTGGTAGAGGTAAAGCGTCTTTCTTTCGGGGCTATGCCATGCACTTCCATGATTGTTTCAGGGAGTGTATCTTCCAGGGAGTCTCCACTGATCAAACCAATGGGAGTCGGTGACTGTTTCAGAAACTCACTCGCGCACAAAAGAGGACCAGAGAAAACCCACCGCTTTGCCGGTTTCGCCGAGGGTTTTCAGTGTTTTTGTGGGTTGGGGGTGTACCTGGCGGACACTGATCACGAAAGCTAAGCTAGTCGTGGACAATTCTCCATCGCATTGTTCTTGTGGGGCAGTTCGTCTTGGGGTCGAACTGTCCAGCATCATGTTCCTTGTTTTTTTTTCATTTTTTCACTAAGTACCGTGTCGTTCCATGGCGGGGTAGCAAGATGGATCCAGTCAGCGTGCCCACGATCCCCACATCGACACACGACACGTCGAAGAAACAGGCAATGGGGCCTACTGGGGGTCCGTCTTCAGGGCCTTTCCACAGGGAAAAGCGGGGGTCTTCGAGAAACTTCCAGCTCCATGGTCTGTTCAAGATCCCAACCTCCCATATTCCGAGAGCTTTTTCCAAGCCAAGCAGCTGGGAGAACTCCATTTTTTGGCTTTTTGTGAGGAGAGTTCCATTTTCTGGAAGACATGTCTCCTGGTCCCCCCTTTTCTGTTGTGCCTCCATGCCTCCAGTGCTGACCGCACCGGGGCAAAAAAACGCCGAGTGGTCAGCCGACCCGGTGGCTTCGGTCGTGCAGACCGGGACTGGAGATCCATCGCTGGATGGTACTTTTTCTCCGAAGGGAGAGTCGGTTGGTCTGAGAGTGGATAGTGGATGAATGGGGGGATGAGGGAATGTCAAGGGGATGAGGGGGTGGGACTGAGTCCAGAGGTCTTTCAGCGATGCCTTGTTCATCCTTTTCATCTTTCAGGTAGCCCTGCCTCAACACCGGACCAGAGAGCGCTGTTCTTGGGCACACCGACCATCGACGCCGGAAAGGTCGACCAGGCGGCGGAAACCGGACACGGCGGGTTTTTTAGAGTTGTTTGGGAGGTTTGGCAGTGGAAACGCTGGAGTTTGGGTAGGTTGTTGAAGTATCTTTGGGGGTTGTAAGAAGACAAATGAAGAGGGGTTGAACAGATTGGGTATAAACTGGTGGGTTTGTTCTTCAGACCGTTTCTGAAGAGAGTATGGTCTACTCTGTCTGCTTTTTGGCGGTGCTTTGGTGCCTTGTTAGCAGTTCGCCGGAGTGAAAGTAGGTCTAAGACCGGCAAAAGAAACGCTGTTGAGAGCTGTCCAAAGTCCGGATTGAACGTGTGGATGGTGCGAGCAAGCACGTGGGTGTCTGAAAACCGTGGGAGGATGCTCAATATTGGATGAAGCATCGATTTTCCTTCCACTGGGGGGCGTCTCTCTAGTTGGAGACGCAAGTGGATGCAGCTCAACGATTCGATCCCGGTTTTCAGGCTTTCGCAGTGTTTCCCTGTGCTGGCAGGGTTTGAGGGGGTGCCTACATATGGGTACCATAGCCAATTGAGGGATGGTGAGACACTCGCTGAAAGATACGGTTGCATCCGACCTCCATTTTTTGAAATGTGTTTTCTTCTTTTCGGCGAATGCAGTATGGTTGGTGAGAACCAATTGCTTTCCCAAAGTACATAGGCCGGATCATTTTTGTTTTCTGGAATCTTATATATATATATGCATATACATATATATATATAGTCTAGGGCTCGCTCCCCATTGTCCATAGTCTTTCTCAACCAGAAACTGCCAACATGAAAAATAAATTCCTTCTAGTGACTATACTGTTCACGTTCAGTAAGATCAGTAAGTAGTGAGATGGCAGCACCCATCTGAGTGGACGCGAAAATGGGCAGAAGTTCTGTCCCCTGATCCTTGAAATTCTGGCAAATGTGCACATGATTTTCTCATGTCTTTCAGGCGTCACTGCCTTTATATGGTATGGATAGGGTGTATCCCATTACCAGTCACAGTCACCAAACGATGATCACCATCACTCATGCCCTGTCGGTTTTTCTGTGTGCCCCATGACCTGTAAGAGGATGATGTCAGCCTGCAAACTAACCATCATCCACTAGGCCCAGGGCAGGAACGTCTGACCAACTGGTGTCTCCACTGGGAGGTCTCCCAACTGGTCTTGGGTCTCGGCTCTCGGGACGTTCGGGGAAACGTGAAGGAATACGTGACCTCCGAAGCGCGGAAGAAACACCGATGAACCGAGCTGAACCGAGCCTTAGGCTCAAAGAGCGCCCTTGGCTGAAAGAGACATTCAGGTTTATCCAATGAACCTCGGACAAGAACCAGGTGTTGTGTTTTTTCCATTGTTCTGAAGAAAAGGAACAGTTCTTTCATGGACAAACAACAGGAGGGCTTTCGTTTTTTGGGAACCTATAGGAGTTCTCCATGATCGGCACTTGAGATCGCCCGCCTTCCGAGCTGCTCCGCGCGGTTCCTTTCGCTGCTCAGCTGCTGGCGTAACCGGTCCACACCTGTCTGAGCGGTCTCAGCCCTCATCGGTTTCCTGGTTCAGGTGGTCCCAAAAATCATGGAAACACCCTTAGTCAAGGTTGGTATGTTTCGTTTGTCACGGAGATAGGCTTGATGGTCAAATGTCAGTCTTCTTTGTGGAAGCTACAGCGTTCCCGCAGAAGGGGGATCCATAGCAACCTAAGTCGCCAGCAGCGACGACTTCACAGTCAACCGGCACACGAGTCTAGATTGCACTCGAATCCTCACGAGCTGTCCGCCCAACAGAGGGCCATGAGCAAACAAACCAAGCCACCCAATGGTCAGAAGGTCTTACTGCTTCATCCACAAGTCAGAAACCATCAGTCATTCCCGGCCTCCTGTGCTCCTTCCGCCTACTCTTCGCGCGACGCGCACCGCCATGGCCGAAGCGCGATGCCTCCTGGGCTCGTCCTTCGCCCCGCTGCCGGCGCTTGACCCCGCGACGCCGCCCGAGAACACCCCGCGGGACGACGCCACGGAGGAAGTGGCGCAGGTGAGCTGCGAGGTGCACGAGTTGGAACTCACGTCAGGCGCGGTTTGGGTTTGTGGGCGGGGGGTTTGGAGTCTAGAGGGCCAAGTTTGGACTCCAAGGGGACACTCAAAGGACCCAACGGTCTTTTTAAACCCCGCAGAGCATTTCAACTCCAGGGCATTGTTCGACTTCACATTTTTTTCGAAGACATGGAAGTGGACATGTTTCGCTGAAACATGGACAGAAGCACCGAAACGTGGCACCGAAGAGCTGCACTGCGATTTCGAACGCATGAACCGCCACGCACTCCCGCATGAGAAAGCGCCGATTCCAACTCTGCATTACTAGTAAAGAGAAGCTACTAGTAACAAGGACATCGCTACAAACGGAGCAAGAAGCTACTAGTAGCTCCTGGCATTGTCATTTCCAGTTGCTTTCTTCCGTCCACTCCTCACCTGACTGTCCGAGCACCTGACTGCGTTCCAGGGCTTCACCACTTAGGAAGAGCTTTTCTGGTCTTCGTATTGTTCGTTTCGCGTTGTCACGGCCAGCAAGGCCAGCAAGGCTTTACACTGAGGATGCACGGATGATTCCCAGAGACATGTGACCTTTGTGACCTATGTTGTACTGACTTAGCCCCAAGCTCAAGCAGTTGGAACGGCAGAATCCGATGGCAGGTCATCTCTCGAGTCAGATCCACGAGATTTCCATATCTTCCATGACTGTCCTCGTATCTTCCGTGTCTTAATTTTTTTTTCAGATAAAACGGTTCCTCAGCACACATAGCGCAATCTCATCCGTTCCATGATCTGTCGCCCAAAACACCGTTCTTTTTTTTTTGGGCGACCAACACCTGAGGATGTCGAGCATTCAGCTGGCCCCTGAAGAGCCTGGCGGTGGGGACGCTTCTGCTGCTGGTCCTCGTAGGCGGGTGGGTTGTGGGGTGGACTGAGGAGGGCCACAGCATGGCGCTTTCGGTGTGTGTAAATACCCTGGACTCATAGGGATCTCATAGGTCCTAGGTAACCTTTTGGTTTGATTTGTTACCTGAATCAGCAGGGGAGTACGGCATGATTGTGGGACCCCACTCCACAATCATGGGATACCCAGTCTGATCAACTTGGCGTACCTGCACTTGAGTTGTGAGTGTTTTAGCCGTTCTCCAATGGTAGCGGTCCCCAGGCTGTTGCAGGATGATTCAGGTTGGCAAACGTGCTTTTTTGCAGTCCTGGCCGGCCGCGAGCGGCTTTATCAACCTTGAACTTTGATGGTTTTGAGACTTGATGGCCAGCCGCACTGACCCACCACCTGGTTTCTTAGGTTTTACTTGCTTAGGTTGGCGTGTGGCAAACCGCAGTCAGTCCGTACATATCATTTCCCGAGCGTGTGGATGAGTGGCTTGGGGGGTCTGCAGCCGGAGGTGTAGCGATGGTCCTCTTAGTGAAACCATGAGTGAGGTTCCGGAGTCCTTTTCTTATTCTCCACTAGTTAGACAGATGTTCTTGTATAGTTGATGTACTTAGTTGAATCACCTTCAATGAAAGCTGTGTTATTTTGCTGGGTTGATGCCCTAACATGCTTGGCTGTCAAAAAAGAGCTTCCTTTCCTTTCTCTTGACCTCCGCTGCTCCCACGCCCCGCCCTGCTCCAACGCTGCAGGCCTCGCCACCGCCGTGCCGGCCCTGCCGTGGGCGCGGCCACCTCCGCGGGCGACGGGCGAAGCGTTTAGCGAGCTGGCCATTGCGGACCCCACTAAGGCGAAGGTGGACAAAGTGGCGCAGCTGGTGCTGCAGCTGGTGCATGAGAAAGCGGTGCAAGAGGACGCCCCAAAAGTGGCCCTTGCGATCCGAGCTGCGGCGTGTGCGAACGAGTTTTGTTCGGGCGTGGCATTCGGAACGAGTTTGTTTGGGCGTTTTTCGATCTAGAGATACATCATCCGGTTTTGGGAGGAAAGAGATGTCGATTTTTAAGACTCACTCAACACAAACTTGATGAGCATGATGAAAGAACAGTGCGACATCTACCAGATTTTGATGGAGTGATTTTGACGATGCTGTTCCAGATTTCGCAACACAAAGAAGATCGACAAAGTGTCACCCCAGGAACATGGACAACAGGTGTTTCTTTTGTTCTAGGCACCTTGCAATGCAACCGGGCGAAACCAGCCAGGTGACCCCGACATGAAGAAGGTGCTGCTACTCTGACTCTACTCTCGCATGGGTTTTTTCAAGAGCAAACCACCCGGTACAACGGACGAGTTCCTCCGTTCCTCGCCGCTTCCTCGCCGTTCGCCGGTAGGAGGCGACGAAGGTCCGGAAGGTTCTTCAGGCGGGGAAAGCCGGGGCCGTGCGTGGCATGGGGTGGGTCTTCTGGAAGAAGAGACGTTTGCATCGTTTGTGGCCGTGGGTTTTCTGGAGAACCTCTTGAAACATCGGACACGACACGAGCGTCATCGACTGGCATCCTTGGCGAAAAGGCCAGGGGTGATTGACGGGACCAATGTAGACATATACTAACAGCGCCCTCCTGGCCAGGCTGTTAGTTGAGGGTTGTTGGACCCTGTCTCAGGTCGAACCAGACTGGTGACCTGGTATATAATATATCCGGTCTCATGGAGCGATATGGGATTGAACCTGGGGACATGGGACATCGACCACACCGGTCTCTTTTCTGGATTTTTGTGGCGAACGGACGTGGAAGGGTCTTGGAAAAAGCACTCCACGGAGAGGAAAAGCACTCAGAACTTCATTATGACTGTGAGCATGGCTCAGATCAGGGATGGCGAGTCTTACTCTTGTCTATGCTAGACCATGGGGACACATCACAGAATACATTAGCTATTCCATGCTATTCCAAAGTACAATACTCCTGTGCTCAGCTGATCTTCCAGTCATAGTCAATATGCTTGTCCTAGGCACCTCATAGGCTTGCGTGAGCCTCAATGGAGATTAGGGCGGTGTCTGGCAGAGCAGTTGCTCAGGTGGATGAGGATGAGTTGCTTGACA